AATCCTGATGCCCCATGAATTGCCTCCTAAAATTATTTAAAAGCAGAACACTAACACTACCACACACACGCTTTCCCAAGGTCAATTTCACCTTGCGTGGCGTTGTTGTTGAACTTGTGTTATTCCCCTGTATAGAGTCAGGCGATTTGGCCGACTCCCTTCGCTCTTGACTCTATGTACTCATTGTTGAGGTGTGTACCTTGTTTAATAGTACCGTACTGCCTTGATAGTTGTTATCGTTGGATTTGACGTACGCTTGACTGTTGGATACAGAGTCAGAGAAGCCAAGAAAGACGAAGCAGTCAGCGTTAAGAGTACAGTTAAAGCTTGTGTTAGAATAGTTGCTCAGCCTGCAGTTTGTTCCAGCTCTGTTACGGTGACATGGCCTTCCTATTCCCGTGTTCTGTCAGTGGAGGCCATACAAGTAATCCCGACCTAACTCTGGTCCAACACAAACGTTTAATGAACACACGCTCACTGACCGCCCAGGTGTTACAGTAGGTCATGGAGTTTGCACTGTGCATCTTAACCACGCTGATGACTTTGTGATACTGCGTTGTGGTCATGCGACAACCAGCATGGTGATATCTTTCAGTAACTGTAGAACGTAAAACCCGAACCACTCAATACTTTCTGCTGGCCTGAGCCAAACTTTCTGAAGGACGTGAGGCAAAGGATGCGTATAGACGTACTCCCCTGAATCATCTTTCTAATGCAATAAGACAGGTAGGTATTATAACTGCAATTGTCTCCGTCTTATGCATTGACGAAAAACGCGCTTATTTTCGCAAAATGTCTCTACTGTCGCTATTCAAATACCGACGACAGTTCTTCCGTCGATTTTGACTATGGGCACCGCGTGCTCCAACAAGCCGCAGGAAACGATGAAGCAAGCCGAAACAGACACTGAGCCAAGCTGGGCAAGCTGCACGAAGGCTACAGCAAGCAGAGGCAACACAGTGAACTACCGCGAACGAAAACAAGAGTTAAAGTAGACTCACGGGGAACCTGCCC